TGTCAAAAAGGTAAAATATTTCAGCAATATAATCAAATTTTCTTGCTAAAATCTCGTTTCAGTTTATGTTTTTAGTCACATCCCATACTTTTAATTCCACCAGAAAGCATTTTAGTTTTACTAGTAATTATGAAATGCCCATTTTCCCTTTTCACCATGAACTCCTCTGAAAACTTCTAAGCTCTTAAGACTTCCGTGTCTTACATTAAGGTTTATGCATATAGAGGCATATTATGTGCATGCAGTCAAGCAACTAATAGCATTTATGTTTATTTACTTTAATTTTTAAAATAAAATAAAAAAAGTTAATTTAAATAGACTGAGTAGCAGTTTATTGTGTTTCCATGTGCTCTGGTGGAGTTGGCAGTAAACAGTGTGAATGGGATGGGTGACAGTGTAGTGGTGAGTGAGAGTTCCTGCCATCTGTTTGTCTCTCTGCTCCTAATCCACGCTGCCAATGACACCAAATATAAACGACTATCAATGAAGAGCTGCTCTCCCAAGTTGAATGTTTCAAAAAAACCTCAGCTACTATAGCCTCATACATGAAACAATGAATTATCTTTTCAAGAGCAGCAATAATTATTGGAGATGTGTCAAAAGCGTTCTGCTATCTGAAAACTCTTTATGCCAATCCTAACATTACTTCCGTTTTGTTTGTTTTCTGTTCCCTGATATTTCCCCAGAGCTGGACATCCATGCAGTTACAGGCATCATAGTGGGGGTTTGTTTGGGGCTGATATGCATCCTTCTCTGCATGTGTTTTAGCTTTCGTAACAGCAAACCCAGGTAAGATGACCTTACAAGGATAATATGAGTAATTACAGCTTTGTTCCCCGTGCCCTTTTTAAAGTTAAATAATTAGACACATCTGCGTTGACTGTCTCCTCTCTGTCATTGCCCCTCCAAACAGAGAAATATCCAGAGGTGTAAACTCCACAGCTGTGACGGCTCCGTACAGAAAAGGTGGCTGCCCTCTTCCAGTCAGCCTTCCAGACTGCAACGATAGCCATGAGCTGGAGACTCTAATGTCCCCAAGCAGGCAAGAGACGGGTCAGCAGCCAGCAGAGGACCCAGAGGTGCAGGGTTTGATGGCAAGCGCTAATCCAGGGGAAGGAGAGGACGCCTCTGCACCTGAACCCAAGGTCAGAACCTGCAAGGGCTCATTTCCAGACAGGCCACTGGCATTTTGTTAGTTTAATATTAATAACAGGGCTCATTTTGATTGTTTGTTTTCCAGGTTGCCTGGAATGGCTCTGTGAGTCATAACTGGGCCAACAGAATCACAACATACAGAGACACTATAATAGAAGATTCCCCAGCACTGATTAATGGAGCACTCAACATTGTTATCACTGCTACTGGCATGGTAAGACACAAACAGCATGCAATGATTTGTTTTGTCTGCTTTGAATATCAACCAAACAGTGTTTGCACACTTTCCTGCTTTTACAGACAACCCACAACCACTGAACAGTAAAGCTAACAAAAATGAGCCACAATAAAGAGTCAGTCTGTCAGAAATTGGTAGCATGATGGTTTTCATTGCACAAGTCCATAAAAGCCTTCACTGCAGTGACACTTTAGTGTCGATGATTACGTGGCCTTGTCCATGAGGACATCATTATGTTGCTCAGAAACCAAAAGTCACACAGCAGCTTTTTATCTTTGAGCTCTGTGATATCTCTTCCTTTATTTTCTATAAACTGACACATTTCCTCATGCAGAAAACATCAAATCAGCATTTACATCAACTTGAACATCACTTTTGTTGTTGCTGTTGTTTTCAGACACAGTAAATTACACATTTCAACCCTGCGTCCTTTTATAAAACATTTCCTCTGTTTTATCTAGACTGACCCTGGGTTTTTGATCTGCTTAGAGACGGATTGTAATGAGATTATGACCCGGTTCTGGCTGGTTTAAACAGGGCCAGCAACTCTGAAAGGAGTCTCCCAGGGATTCAATATCCGTCAAGGAATAGAGTTTTTATTTATTTCTTTATTGGCTCGCCACATCACACATAGAAGCTTTTTCTGCACCGTATCATTTTTCCTGACACATCAGAACCACATAGGATTCTATGAGATCACACTTAGTCCGCCCCTTTATCCACTTGATAGGCTGTGCTCCCGGGAGAAGGCGGAGCCTAGGCCCATATAGTTGGAAGGCAACATGTCATTTGTCCCTTCTGGTCCAAGATTTCACATCCATTTGTATCAGAGAGGCCAGCGTTGTAAAACTGTAATCTTCTCCTGCCTTGATTTAATGCAATTGGTAAAACTGAATTCACGTTTCCTTGATTTATTGAGATAGTGTGAGTTGCTACTTCTGAGGGAATCCAAGCTGGGAGCCACGTGAGCTGGAGATGGGTCTGGGATCTGAGATGAGGCCTGAGAACCACAGCTAGCAACAGCTACAGTAGCTGCAGCAGCTCGGGGGGCCCGCAACAGCTCACTCTGCAACATCTGCTACAAAAACAACGTGTGGCTTCTTTCCTACTACAATAAAAGTAGTTTCATCAGTCACTTTAGTTCAAAATTCTCTGACAAAGGACTTTTTTTACAACTATTCTGTGTCTAACAGTTTTCAATGTGGATTCCATCTGATTTTACTAATGTGACAGCGTGCTTGCTGTCCCAGTGTACTCTGGGACTTGTAGTATGATTGGTGTGTATTCTGTATACCTGCAGGTCTGCTCCCATACATAAAACACATGATCTTACAGAACTTCCCTAACAGAATTTTGAATAAAGTAGATGCCATTTCCTACATTCTGGTGTATTTTACAAACATTTAAAACATGTTTCTCTTCAAATACTCTGACTGCACAACAATCAGCTTCATGAGCTGAGATCATCGTCTGTTTTATCAGTTCTGTGAAAGTTCAGATAACTCCTGCAGTGATTCACACATCAGATTATTCACAAAAGCACAGGAACTTATGCCTAGTGCAAAACGTTTAATTATATTTTTGTGTTTTGTAATAAAATTACCCATGACTTTGAACTTTTAGGGGCAGAGATTTTTTTGAGCAGAAGCAAACATGTGAAGCGACAGCTCTGATGTGATATTAGGAAGCTTGTTAAAATTATAACTTTATTTAGAATCAGAATCAGAATAAACTTTATTGGCATTGCACCGAGATACAATGAGAACATGTATGTACAGTCGTCCGAAAGATAGACGGAGTGCACGAAGCTGTGGCTATAAAATAGCGTGGCCCTCTTATTCTTATTCAGAATAATATTTTCCTTAGATGAAAAAAGGGAAGAAAACATGAGGAGAGATGGTATAAAAAAAGATCTCTCACGCCGTGTCCTAGACATGGCGTGATTTGAGGCATCAAAAAACCTACCACAGCAGAGCAGCATAAACAGACGTTATACATGTGCATATAGGCCGGTGAAAACATTGAATTTTTAAGGGAAAGTCGTAGCATAGTCCAGAGTCCCCCCTCTCAGCCATTGTCTAGATAAGAGGTGACGTTCATCATCAGCTCAGTTGAGGCTCTGTCACATGTCCACGACCTTGGGGAAGGGAGTGGTGAGAAGAAGAAAAATAAATAAATAAATTACTTATGGATCAGTTAAGGGCAGCACGGTGGCGCAACTGGTGGAGCAGCTGCCTCTCAACGAGCAGGTCCCTGGTTCAAATCCCGGTCCGGGGGCCTTTCTGGGTGGAGTATGCATGTTTTCTCCGTGCATGCGTGGGTTTTCTCCAGGTACTCCAGTTTCCTCCCACAGACCAAAAACATGCATGTTAGGCTGATTGGTAACTCTAAATTGTCCCTAGGTGTGAGTGAGAGAGTGAATGGTTGTTTGTCTCTATGTATCCCTGTGATGGACTTGCGACCCGTCCAGGGTGTACCCCGCCCTCTTGCAAAGAGATTGATGGACATGGGCACCGGCGACCCCCGTGACCCAAAATGGAAGAAGCGGGTAAAAGATAATGGATGGATCCGTTCATATTGTTTACTATTACCTGCCACTGAAAGGCAAAACAGAGTGATAATATATTTTTTTGCAAGTGCGTTTTGTCATTTGCCAAATTATCTCAAAAGTCACAGGACAGATTTTAATAAAACTTTCAGATAGTGATAATTGGATGAACATCATAGATCGATCAACTTGAAATCAATCCAATTTGAACTGGCTGCCACACCTAAATGACATCAACCAGCACAAAAATTGTTATAATTGGCTATTTTTACTGATATTGAGCTAAAACTTGATGTGGAAGTAGCTGAGAGTCATTCACAACACACACTCTGCACATGACATCTCACAGTATCACATTGTGTATAACGTTATTTTTAAGATTTGTCAACTTCATTGTTTCTTAATATACGATGATCTTTGTTTCAAAACTCTAGAATGAAAGGCAGCAGGCAATTCACATTTTGTCTTTTTTTTTATTCCATTTATTTATTACTTCTTACCTAATATTGGGTTTGTCTATTCTATTTTCTAAGTTAGTACTTTAATAATAATACTTTCTCCCACTAAACTCAGGTGATAGTCATAGAAACCTGATTACTTTGAGTAGTCGTGCAGAAGACTGCCCTTGTGCTGTGGAGTATTAGAGCTTACAGTAATGGTGTTTATTACAGAGTGATCTTATTGTGTTTCATATATAAAAACCTTGTGTAAACCTATTCAGTGAGACATGCTAATACTTGAGGATTACACAGAGATACAAGAAGTAATTGAAAACACACACAACAATGGCTTTGTTTTGTTACAGGAATTAGATGGCCGTGTGTGTACATCGCCTTGCAGTAACCAGGTCGAAGCAGAAGTCATTGTTCACTCTGAGCTGTCCGACCCTGGTGGGGTGAAGGAGGAGGAGGGAGTCAGCGCCAGAGGACCCTCATTATCAGAGGACGTTTACTCCCCTTTGAGTCAGCCAAGTTCCCCGGGAGAGGAGGAGCCAATAGAAAAACTTCCACTGGCTGAAAGTCCCTTGAGTCTTCCCTCAAAAACATTTGTGGTTAATCACAACAGGGAGGCAGAAGGCGCAAGGCACCAACTGACTGCAGATGCAGAGCCACAGCGGGACACGGGACTAACCAATGGCTTCCACTCTCTGAAGACTGTGAGGTCTGTGTTGAGGTCAGAGCATTTGGAAAATGGAGACTCCAGACACTGCCCTTCTGCATCAGGAAAGGTCATCGCTGCTGGACCCTTTGTCAGCTCTGGCTTTGTCCACTCTACCTCAACAGCGCACACATATCTGTGCCCATAGCTTCTGCATGAAGGTCTTCAGCCACGCTTAGACATTTCAGACTGATTTTCATTTTACGTGTTCAGGAAGAATCCATAGGAAATATATTTTATGCACATTGTCATTGGATTCCTTCTTCTTTCTTGTGTAGTTTTCTAAGTCTTTTGAATTCATGCAAAAAGATGCATATTAGGCGTATTTGTGGAGAACTGTTCATGGGTTCCCTATTTTTGCAGCTGCTCTATCCACTCAGTATCTTCCCTGTTCGTAGGGGAAAAAAGGAAGTTTCAACATAACAAGGCAGATGGATGTGCATTGGAAATAACTATTCTCACTGTGTCACAAATGGCTCTGTTCCACCCAGAAATGAGGGAAAAGACAGGAAGTGTGTGAGCATCTGGGCGAGTTATCATCAGTAATACTGAGGAATAAGCATTATGAAAAATCTGCACCATGTGAGAGTGCAGAACAAATGGGTTTGTCTCCAATATCCTGCTGTCTCAGGGTCCAGACTCTCACACACTGAAACACACACCGGGATCACAGCCAGTTCCAGCCGTGCATAAATGCACATTTACACACGTTTTCAGAATTAAAGAGTCTCAGGTGCCTAACTGTTCTAGGTGTGTTATACCCTGCATCTTTATATTGCGGCTCATATTCTGTGCAAGTATTAAACATGTCAACATGAAGATAAGGTAGATGTAGAGTTGGTGCACTTGATACGTCTTTTCTAATGTGCCATGTGTCCATTTAGTGGGATTGCGTAAAGCAGGGACACAGAGTTTGAATAGTTTATTAGAAAGGTAGAATCAAATCTCAGATTGACAGTATTAAAATGTTAATTTTGGTATTGCTTTTATTAGGTTGGAGGGGAGAACTAGGGGAGATTTTACAACAATCCATCTGCAGACCACTCTCCTGTTTAGCGCCTGAGCCGGGATGCACCATCCATACTGATGTCAGTATGACGTGCCAATAGTTGAATTTTATTTTTTCTCCACACTATAGGGTAATGTGTTTTTGTGAAATACTTGCCAAGCTTGTACATTGTAGGAAACGTGTAGCTGTTTATAAAATATCATTCCCTATTATCCTTTCTGCTATCAGGAATCAGCATATCTAAAGTTCATGAAAGTTCACTCAGTTTTACATTTATGCTGCAATATATTTTAACAGTTAGCCCAAATAGTCAAAAAGATCATTTGATTTGTTGTCATGATTAATACAATAATTTTGTAAAGGTAAGTACAGCTTGCAGCAGTGTACAGAGGGGATTGGTGCATCCCTTCTCCATGTCAACGTCACTACCTCATTTCTTTTCAGAAAGGTTTCCAGTGTTTTGTTGTTTAGTGTAACTAGCACCTTTATATGACAATCTTTTTTAAATTTGTCTGATTCTACAACTTGTGGTATTTGTAAAGATTACTGTCAGACAACGACTCTATGGTCTTGTTTTATGTTAACTGGAAAATTGTGTGTTTTAAGTGCATCCTGCTTTTGCTTACTGCTTGAAAAGCTGGTGATCATGTGCGCATGTGTGTCTTGACTGTCTGTCTCTGTGTTAGCAAAATATCTCATGAAGGAATGACTGGATTTTAATGACGCTTTCAGAAAGTAATTATTGCATATCATTTTTAACTGATTATATTTTGGAGTCAATTGATTCAATATGGCTACCACAGCAAATTGACATTAGCCAATGAAAATGGCTTCATCTCAGACAGTTTTACAGACATTGAGCTAAAGTTTGGCGTAGTAGTAGCTGAGAGTCACCCCTAAGACACTGAGCACCAACATATTGTGCTAGATCTTTGCTTAAAATATTCGCATAAAGGCAGTTGGTACAATGTAGTCCTTTAAGAATTACTAGTTTAATTTGAGATAACAAGATGACATTTACTACTGTGTTCTGAACTCGGTTAAAAAAAAAAGTCAATGGTTCTGATGTGAAGCGTCTTCAATCTGAAGTGGAGTTCAGAAAATCGAGCAAAAGTAGTGCCATTTGTCAGCAAGGACGCATATGTGACTTTTTGTCAAAATGGCAGCTGCATTCAGCAGCTGCAAGCTGGTGCCATCATTATGTCCTTTGTTCATTATTCATTCAGCGCTTCACGTTAGAGTTACTGGAGGTCAATTACACTGATGTAAAACCTGCACTCGTGGAAAAAAAGAAGGAAAAAGATATGAACTTTAACACTTTTATACTTTGATTGCTTTTCCTCAGTCAAGTAAGAAGAGAGAAGGAGACACATCCTACACACTGTACTCTGAGTCAGTGCTATAACAAGATCAAATGAAATCCCTTACATCAGCAGTTGACATATAAATGATTCTTTCTGTACCAAACAGCCTCAGTATGGTCTATACCAGGGCTACTCAACTGGTGGCCCAGGTGCCAAACCAGGCCCACAGGTGAACTCAGTTTGGCCCACCAATGGGTTCATTTTTAAACAAAAGTAGATTTTAAACTATAAAACAAACACTGAATAACAGTACTGTAACTGATGGATGCCTGGCCCCTAAGCTCTTGCATGCAGTAACTGTGGCCCCCTGAGCAAATTAGTTGAATAGCCTTGGTCTATTCAGTATATAACATCGCTCAAAAATTTTTATTGTGTTTGAAAATCTGAACAAAATTGTTTTTTCAAAGCTTTCTTGTTGATTCGTTTTTATTTTAGATAAGGTGAAAAAATAACCAGCAGGTTTTCGTTCACAGCTGTTGCCATCATTGTTGTTCCCATATTCAGTCTAAACGTTGAACTTGTTTTCGTTGCGGCTGCGCTCTCGTCAGTTTGTTTAACCTTAATTTAACCAAGCATTTTTTCATTTAGCCTTTATTTATCCAGGTTAGTCTCATTGAGCCACGAGAACTCATTTTCAAGAGAGACCTGTTTTTAGGGAGCACATGGTGGGGGTTAAGGGCCTTGCTCATGGGCCCAGAGTGGGGCGAATGAGGGTGGGGGCAAGTGTGGGTGTTTCACCTACCCCAACACAAGCAAATGCCATTGAGATCACAGATCTCTTTTGCAAGGGAGGCCTGGGCCTGAAGGCAGCCTAACATGTTCTTGGTCTGTGGGAAGAAACCGGAGTACCCGGAGAAACCCACGCAAGTACGAAAAGAACATGCAAACTCCACAGAGAAAGTCCAACCTGGGATTGCACCCAGGACCTGCTTGCTGTGAGGCAACAGTGCTAACCACTGATCCATTGTGCTGCCTAAGAGTTAGGTTAGAGTCCATTTTCATGCTGGCGAATTAAACCACCTGCTGTGGCAACACTGAGCAGAGGAAGCAGTTACAATGCGCAAGATTTTTGACTTGAGTTTGATGACCTGAAAGCTAAAGCAAACTACCAAGACTACATGTGTACTTTTTGACTCAAGATATTTGTCCAGTTTTACTTTCGGCTCTCTAGCATCCTTCTCAAAAGAGCATACATCGCAAGTCCTGAAATAAACGTTCTCAAACATTCCTACAAGCCTCTGTCAGCCACGACTGGACATGGAACCGTAATAGCAGAAGTGCTCAAATCCACCATCTGGCTTCCTGTAGCTCTAACAAACTTCATCCTCGCCTGAGTTCAAGTCGTTTTCTTTTCCAGTCACTACTGCAACATCCAAACTGCTGTCTGTGGACTGGGCAGGGATCAGTCCCAACACACACACACACACACACACACACACACACATATATATAAGAATAATTTTAGTAATTTCACAATTGGTTTATAGTGTTTAAAAATCATTTTAAACTGTTGTTTTGCAGACAGCAGCTGCATATCAATTTATTCACTGATGTTTTTCTGCTCATAACTGAAAAAGAAAAAAGGAAATCTTGACACGTCTTCATCAGTTTGATACTTAATAATCAGGCTGTTCTGCGTTTGTTTTTAATGGATTTTCTCGATGTGTCGAGCTGACAAAATTTGTAATACGGAATACTAATTTAGCCACAAATAGACGTGTGCTCTCCTATCAGCACCACTGTAGTCTAAATAAGTATCTGATTTTTATTGGCTAGAACAATCATCATTTTTAAGAAATATATAGGATGCTCTCAGTTTGCAGAGATGACAATTGTGTTTTTAATTGTGTATTTTTCATACGTTTTGTAAGGGTTTTACTAAAACTGTATACCTCATGTCTGTTCATTTGATTCTGAGCAGTTTTTTTTTTTTTATATATATATACTGCACGTTTTGTAATAAGCATAATTTGTAAGCAGAGTTTTTCACAGACTGGGCTAAATTATTTCATTTTCACTCTAAATGCAAGGACATTTCGTGGATTGGTCTCAATTAAGGAATAAGTATCTGATTTTACTGTTTACCTTAGTCAGTGTTTTGCATATATTTTATTACATAAAAACTCTTAAGTGGCATCTTCCCCATGAAGGTCAAACTTCTCTCTGCAGGCTGCCATTTTTTTACATCTCTACTCAGGTGCTTCATTTTAGACTCATACCAGCATATTCAAAAAGGGTGCATTGTGTATTTTCTTAATTTAATAATAATTAAAAAAAAACCTACATGAAGCAACAAATCAAAATTTGAAAGTAAATTAAAGAACCACTTTTACAGATTGTCTTGTTATGCAATATGTTTTTTTTTTTTTCTGGTGCTTCATTCTACATTTTGGTGCTTAGTGATGAGCAGATGTTTTAGCCTCTGTAATGTCGTAGTGTTTTACAGTTTTTGAAGTAGTACATCTGACTGTGTACCACTTCAGATCTATTTCTCGGCATGTGTAAGCACCGACTCAGACTCCGCTGCCATGTGCCACGAGTGTCTCTCAGACACTTCTGTAATCACTGCACGCCGACAAAGACCTCATTCGTCACATGTAGAGGCAAACTGTAGGAGCACTTAGAAGATTGGCGCCTCTTCTTGTGCTACGAGCAACCTTGAGCTGTCTTCTTAACATTTTTAGAAGTGTCACTTTCCAAGCCAGACAGAAAACACAGTTGGATCACTCTTTGTATGTTAGTGGGAACTTTCTCCATAAAAATACTGATTTTTCAGAAGAATCGGTCACGTGTCAG